TCAATAGCATTTGCAATGAAAAGTCAGAATTTTTGAAAATATTTCAGGATTGTAAAAAAAGTTATTATGTTTATTTCCTATTCATAATAAAAAAGAGTTGTGATAAAAACAAAAAATTACCTCGAAATATATCACCTCATCTACGATTTCAACGATTTAGATGTAAACCTAAACTACATATAATTTTGATCTCGATTTTTATAAAGTGATTTCGAATTGGATTCAACAACAAGTAATGATTTATGAGCTGTTTTTAAAATTTTGACACTACCATCTTAGATCCGCGATTTTGAATTGAAAATTTGACAATTTTGATGTTAGATTTGTGATCGGCAATCTTAAAAACTCCCAAGTAGAGATTTTCAAGTTAATACATTTATTTTTTTTTAATTTCTGCCGCCATCTTAAATACGCCATTTTGAATTGAAAACTTTGGAATTCCGACTTTATTTTTATAATCAGCGACCCCAAAACCCTCGAGTAGAGATTTTTAAGCTGATATATCTCTTTTTTTTCAAAATTTTGGAACCGCCATCTTGAATACGCCATTTTGAATTGAAAATTTTGGAATTTGGACTTCATATTCGTAATCAGCGACCTCGAAAACCCCCGAGTACAGATTTTCAAGTTAATACACTGATTATGTTTTTCAATTCTCCGAAAAAAATGACATTTTTTCATGTTTGTTTATTTATATAACAATTATAATAAACAATTTTGCCAAATAAACCATTTTCTTATATTCTGTTACTAATAAATTAGTATATGAACAAAAAAACCAGATGTAAATATGTTAACAATTGATTCAATAGCGAAAATGTGAAGTCAAGTTGGTGGTAACCCACGTTACCACAGTGCAACAAAGGGTTAAAGCAACATTAGTAAATTATTCAATACAGGATGAAACGCCCAGCCAGACTACTGCCGAACAAAACTTAATATTACCGGTCTCAGTTAGAATTAAAGAAGCCCTTATAAAAGTGCCTTCATTCGATGGCACAAACTTGCCTCATTTCCTACGCACATGTCGCCGTGCTTAGAGACTGGTACCGTTGGAAACTCAAACAGAATTAATAAAGTTCCTAACGAACAAGTTAGATGACAGGGCCTATGTGGCTATCGAAGGTCTTCAATTCACTAACCTCGAAGATTTTTCGATACAGTTGAGACAATTCTTTTCACCAAGCACCAGCACGAACACTTATCGCGGCGAGCTTGCGGAGATAGTAAAAGAACGTGGTGAGGCCATATTAGATTATATTAATAGAATAACCAACAATAGAGACTGCATATAAGATGCAATTAGAAATGAAACAAAATCAGAATTGTTCTTAATGGAGAAGGTAAAATTAGACAACGAAACTATAGAAGGATTTCGCGGCAGTCTATATTTCAATTTTCGCTGCCGACTAGAAAACCGGAAAGGTATGACGCTGCAAGAAGTCTTCAACTACGCAATAAAGGTAGAAAAACAGATTCAGAGAGACAGGCAAAAACATGGTGCAAACGAGTCATGAAAGCTGTTACCGACAAGCGGTAGACTACCTCAAGCAGGACAACCAACTATAGCCCATCAATAAATGGAACAGCCGGTCCAACGAATACAAATGCAATCAACGTCATCACCGGCGCATCCTAGTCCACGAAGGAGGCCTAGAAATCCAAACTTACCACCGTCACCTAAATTTGAGAAAAAATCATACAATGCAGAAGCCAATTGCACGCATTGCAAAAGAACCGGACATCATGTAAATAACTGCCTAAATCTCAAGTACAAAGCATGTTGCGAAAAATAAGAAAGAAAACTAGCGGCAAAACGTACAGGCAGCCCCGCAAGCCCAGGGCGCGCCGTGGCCTGCCATGAACCAGCGCTTAGTGAATGCAATAGAAAAAATCAATCTACCATATAAATTTAGGATGCTCAGAGGTAATACCAGTTATTGAACTTAAATCCGATGATTTTTATACAAAACAAATCGACGCTATGTTCGATTCAGGAGCAGAGCCAAATATAATAAAAATATCTGCTTTATCCCGCGACCACTATTTAAACTTACAAAACGCACCTTTGATCCGTGGAGTAACAGGCGGAGACATCTGCTCTTAAGGTACCACGCTAATCTGCCTGGCAGATTCTCAAACTGACTTTGTCGTTGTAACCGATGATTTTCCCATAGCTACAACCGCTTTGTTAGGAGCCTATTTTTTAAAAAGTAATAGAGCATGCATTGATTTCGCGTTAGAAACAATGTTCACTCCCGTAAAAATTTATCCCTTCCTAAACAAATTAATATACAAAATTCCGGCATATACAACTTTAGTTCCCAGACTACCCTTTGTAAATCCGATTTCTTTTTACAGAGGTTACATACTTGAGTTAGAGTTCGGTGACTCAAATATTAAAGCAGGAAATGTACTAGTCGACAATTTTTTTTCCAAAACTCAATCTTTATCCGGAAGTAATGTATTACCTAATGAACGTAACGACAGGGTTTATGAAAGATCCAGAAGATCACGAATCAAGTTATTATCACAAACAGGAATCGGTTTCCTCTTTTCCAACACACATGATATGAGCGACCTGGAAGACGTAAGCGAAAACGAGAACAGCTCGATAAAAACCTTTTATAAAATTAACGATTTACAAGAATCTTAAAGAAACTTATTGATCTTGATCTAAACCCTAACAAAAATTATAACGTAAACAGAATCAGATTACCTATAAACGAGGCACCACAGACTGAGGATGCATAGAACAGGCCTCATTTATTGGTTCAGAATTACTTCAAAGGAAACACCTCTATCACAATAGATAATGTGATACAGAATCTAGACATTTCAGTTCAAGAATATGTTGAAACTACGAAAGAAATATTAAATTAAAACAATGAAACAGAAATCAATCAAATCCATGTGCTTACTACATTTAAGCTCGACTCAGAAGGCAATACATACAAAATGTTTGACGAAACTTCAGGCTACCCAGTTACACAAAAATTTCCATCAGCTCCCGGAATTTCAAAACCACAAAATAATTCGGGTTCGGATCGTAGTCGAGTCTATCAGATTATGGATCTGATTAACTTCGGTGAGTTACCCGACGATAAAATACAGAGATTTTGAAACTTAGTCGAAAAAAACGGAAAAGGTCTCTTTATTTACCTACTGAAAACTTAACGTCCACCAATGCGGCAAGACACAGAATAATAACGACAGATGACGTTCCTGTATCTATACGCCAATATCTAATTCCACAAAAGATGCAAGAAATTTATTTGAAAATGAAGTTGTAAAACTCTTAGCAGCTGGAATTATAGAACCATCGGAAAGTGATTATAACGCACCTCTTATTATCGTATCTAAACAAGAAAACGAATGGAGAGTTGTAGTCGACTTCCAGACTTCCGAGAGTTAAACAAAAAAACTATATCTGATCCTTACCCGATCCTGAATTTAATAAATAATCTGACGCAATTAAATGGTTCTAACATATTCTTGATTCTTGACATGCAAAGTGGATTTTATCAAATTGAATTAGACCCCCGTGACCGCCATAAAACTGCATTTTCTACTCCCTTTGGCCGATCTCAATTCGTTAGAATGCCTTTTGGATTGAAAAATGTGCCCAGTACCTTCCAACGCATGATAGATAATGTACTAAGACGTATTCAAGGGAAAATTGTACTCGCATATATCGATGATCTTAACATCTTTGCAAGAAATATTGATGAGCAAGATCAGAAATTTCTTTTGACAGCTGAAATATTCATAAAGGCAAACTTAAAATTCAACCCCAAAAAGTGCAGGCTTTATCGCGAAGAAGCAAACTATCTTGGACATGTGCTGACTCCCGAAGGAATAAAACCGGATCTTAAAAAAACAAAAGCAATAAAGAAGTTTCCATTACCAGAAAATCCAACTGCTGTGAAATCATTTCACGGATTAGCCAAGTTATTCCAAATTTTTCCACAATTGCAAAACCTTTAACAGATCTAGTCAAGAAAGACGTCCCATTTACCTGGGAAGAGCATCAACAAAATTCCTTTGATTACCTAAAACATTGTTTGACGTCTGAGCCAATCTTGATACATCCAAATTTTGAAAAACGATTTTTCGTAACTACTGACGCCTCGAAATACGCTATAGGACGATTTTTGAGCTAGAGACGCAAACATTTACAGTTACCAGTTTAATTCACCTCTAGAATACTCACCAAAGCTGAAGTAAATTACAGTACAATAGAAAAGGAGTTACTCGCGATAGTATATTGTATAGAGCAATTCAGATACTACATATTCGCTCGAGAATTCACCGTATTCACGGACCACCAGTCACTAGTTTAGCTACGAAATCTCAAAATTCCAAACTCTCGTTTAGAAAGGTAGGAGTATAAGCTATCAGAATACGACTTTACTATTATCTATAGCTCTGATAAGGACAGTCGCGTCGCTGATCCATTATCTACATATCCACCGTAACCTCAAGATATACTTGTGATCAGAAAATGGAATCAAAAACGACAAGCGCAGAGTTACCAGTAAAGCGTCCGGAAAATGATAAAAAAAAACACGAATTAATATTCGAAAAAGGCGAATTTATTGCCGTGAGGACGATTGATGATTCATTTTACCTATGCAAGACCATGCAGGATATATATAAACACTCACACCGAATCAAGATCCGATGACTGACAGAGAATAAAAACGACAAGACACTCTTCAATACAGACTATGATGATAAAATCGATTTTCACTGCATTTTGACAGACGTGTATCTCTAAAAGGTTCCAGGAACGACATACCGACTTTCAAATCAAGAACGGAAGAAAATAGAACAAATCCTGAAGGACTCCATTAACATAGAACTACACAAGAAATCTAACGATATGAATTCTCTACAAAATCCCAACCCAACCCACAAGAAACAGAACAGCATGGGACATAGTAAATCCCGCTATAGGCTCTTTCACTGATCTAGAACTAAATCGAGACGACATATACATGAACGACTTAATGAATTCTCCCGTAAACAGAGAAACAATCATTAGTCCTGACGAATTAACAAATGCAGAAGACGACCTTATGATGGGAAATGAACTTCAGAATCAAACTGGACCTTCAATACGTAATCCAAGCTTTAAAATAGAAAGTAGTCAAAGGCAAGATAAAATGCAAAATGACTCTGAAGACGAGTCTGATGATGACAATCTATCCGAAGTAAAATATGAATTCGGCCGTAGTGAAGTAAGCAGACCGAGGCCAGCTATATTATAGCTATATTTCTATATTATAGAAATCAGGGATAATTTTTTACTTGCGAAGGATAACCTTACTCACCTTGTAACACTCAAAAATCAACCTATAGATTCTGGAGCCATTACCCTTCAAAATGCAGATGAACTTCCGTTTCACCATGAAAAACAAATAACTAATAACACTGCCAGTAAAAGAAAACATGAGAATCACAATAGACCCAGAAATTTTGAAAAACACAATAGAATCCCTCATAGATGTATGCCTCTCACTTAGTTTGACTTCCGTTAGAATATCAAAAACGAGCAGAATTGACGATACAGAGTGGAACGAGACCGTTGATCTTCTCAAAATTTATTTCAAAGGAAGCCAAACTAAAATCTTGATTTGTGTAAATTTAATACAGCTACCAGACCGTGTCATTACAGAAAAAATAGTTATTGAGATTCATGAGTACCCGATAAATAGACACAAGGGTGTCACAAAAACTTACAAGCGTATTCGGCAAGATTATTACTGGCCAAATATGAAAAAACAAATACAAGAGCTTATAACCACCATAGGGGGCTTTCTCGGAGCTGGCCGGGAGAGAAACCTCGTAAGGCAGCATCTGCAGGGTTATCTTCGGAGGAGACATGGCTCCGTGTAGCCTGAGGAACCATCATGTAGATCTGGCTAACTCGGTTAGCTACAAAGGTTTGCCAATGTGACGGATGCTCCCGGAGCCATGGTAGTGTCACCGAGGAATCTAACCAGCAGATTATCTTACTGGGCCCGAGGATGGAACCATCGCTGCCACTAATCGAGCCAGGTATAAGGCTGCACAGAGTTCCAATCAGGGCACGCTTATTGACTTGATCGATGTCACCTTAGGTTTTGCTACGAGCAATCAGGAGCGCCAGGCACCTTGAGAAAAGTAGAGTCACAAAGTAGCAGTCACAAAGTAGAGGTAGACTCCATAAGCTCGCTTGGAAGCATCGCAAAAGCTGCGCAGGAACCAGAGTGTATCGTTGTTGTATCCTAGAAAACGAGGAATAGTGATGTCTTTCACGTCATGGAGTTGTCTGCAGAAAGTAGCACATTCTTCCAGGGACTTGGGATCTAGTGGTGAGTCCCAGTCGCAGTCCTGCATCCAAAGTTTCTGAATCAGAACTTCGCCTTGGATAGGAACTGGATCCAACCAGCCCACTAGGTCAAATAAGCTTGCGACCACCGACAAAAGTTCCCTCTTGGTGGTTGGCGTGATAAGATGATGGTTCTTGATCCGGAATCCGAAGGCATCTAAACGTGGTCAACAGCGAGGTCCCGACGTAGGCACTATGTTTTCTTCAGCTAGCGGCAAATCCTAAATGGAGACATTGATCAGGCCTGCCGGCAGCGTGGGATGATTCGATGATCATTTATCGAGATTGATTCCTGGCATCCATAGCCAAATCCAAGGAATCAGCTCCGACGAAAGTGTCGTCAACGTGGGTGTTGCGATGCAAGATATCGGCTCCCAGCGGGAACTCGACTCGTTCATCGGAGGCCAACTGGCGGAGCGCTTTGATGGTTTGGTATGGAGTACAAGAAGTACCAAAGGTGACGATGGTCATCCGAAAGAGCTGCATGGCCTGATCCGGGGCATCTCTCCAAACGATGCATAGACAGTCGGCGTCTTTCTCGTGAATTCGGAACTGACGAAACATCTTGACGATGTCTGCTGAAAAGACAAACCGATGATACCGCCAACATGAGAGGATAACTGCGATATCAGTCTGTAGCTTAGAACTAGAATAAAGGCAGTCGTTGAGGGACACCCAATTGTTGGCAGATTGGGAGGCGATAAAGATCACGCCGATCTTTCCACCGCCGTCACTCTTTAACGCGTCATGATGAGGTCATATACTACCCTTGGATGGTATCTATATCCTAATCATCAATTCTCTCCGTGCGATTCAGAGTTTCATACTTCACAAAGGTAGTATCGGCCTCACGCTTCTTCGGGTTTCGTCGAGAGCGACGTTCCGAACCCAGGACGTAAAGACCGAAGACATCCCTTCTATGTGTACGCACAAAATGATCTTCAAAAGCCTGGTCTTCCATGGATAGTTGAGGAATCGTGGATACCACCTCCAACACCTAGAATCACCGGAGTTCCATTGTCAGGTCCAAACTACTGGTCTCGGCGTGGAAGCATCGCAGACAAGATCGTGGGCCAAAGTTCATTGAGTATCCATCCAAGGACTGTCTTTTGAGCCATGGGTTCACTAGGTAAGTCCTTCCTCAAGCCGCTCAGCAGAAGCGTACGATAAATGTCAGCATGCAGAAAGCAGATAGATGATTCGGCCTTTCATACAATACTCTAGGTATGCTAGAGGTAGCCCGTGCAGATGAGACAAGGCCCTCGTAGTGACTGTCCTGCTAGGAAGAATCGTGGTGATTTTGGACAATACTACGGCTGTTAGATGCATCCAGAAGGACATGGTGAGAGATCAGAATGATATCCACCTCTCCTGAGGGTTGGCGGCAAACGTTGCCACCTACACCATTAATGGTCACCCGTGTGGACCACTTAGATAGATGTAGGGCCTGGACGACCTACTCAGGCAGGAAGATTGTTTCGAAGCCCTGATCCAGAAGCATACGTATTTCAATATTGGTGTTTTCCGAGTTGATAATCACTTGAGCCGTAGACAAAAGTACCACTCCTGCACAGTGTGAGTGTATAGAGAATATTCAGTGATGAAGGTTCCGAGATTATTTCCTGAGCTGCACAGGCCATCTGGACCGATCCCTTGGTTGGGACGGCTTTCTGGTGCATGAGAGTGTGGTTTAGTGCTCCGCAACCTGTTACCCTGCAACGGAAAGAGGATGGACATTTGCTAGCTTTAAAAATTTCAATAGGTTATGTACGAGGGTGGTCCGATAAGTACTTAGCCTACAAAAGAAAAACGAAAATTTTGGAAAAGTGACGTTTTATTTTTCAACATAGTCTCCTTTTAGTTCGATACACTTGACCCAGCGATGCTCCAACTTCTTTAACCCATCTAAAAAATACGTTTCCTCGAGGTCTGAAAAGTAGGCTTCTGTGGCAGCGATTACCTCCTCATTCGACTCAAATTTCTGCCCGGCGAGTGACTTTTTCAAGTTTGGAAACTAAAAGAAGTCGCACGGGGCTAAATCTGGAGAATACGGTGGATGGGGCAGCAGTTCGTAGCCTAATTCGACCAATTTGGCCATGGTGTGAGCGGAGTGCGGAGGTGTGAGCCGGTGCGTTGTCATGGTGGAAGAGCACTTTTTTCTTCGCCAAATGGGGCCGCTTTTTCTGCAATTCGACGTCGAATCGGCTCAATAATTCGGCATAGTACAGCCCTGTGACCGTTTTGTCCCTCTCCAGGTAGTCGATGTAGATCACATCTTGTGAATTCCAGAAAACGGTGGCCATCACCTTTCCGGCCGATGGGGCAGTCTTCGCCTTCTTCGGAGCACTTTCGCCAGGTAAAGTCCACTGTTTCGACTGTTCCTTGGTCTCTGGTGTATAGCAGTAGATCCATGTTTCGTCGACTGTCACGAAACGACGCAGAAACTCCTTCGGATTGCCCTTAAACAGCGTCAGACATTGCTCTGAAGTTGTCTCACGGTTGCGCTTATTGTCCGGAGTGAGCAAACGCGGCACCCGTCGCGCCGACAGCTTTCTCATGCCCAAAATTTCATGCAGGATATGACCCACGCGGTCTTTTGAGATGCCTACGATCTTAGCTATCTCGCGCACCTTCAATCGTCGATCTGCCAATACGAGATCGTGAATTTTTGTCACGTTATCCTTCGTGATAGCCGTTTTCGGAGCACCTGGACGTGGCTCTTCAAAAATCGACGTGCGACCACGTGGAAACTCGTTAAACCAATTTTTGTCGGTCGTCATCGAAGGAGAAGAGTCACCGTACACAGCATCCAAGCGCTTTTTGATTTCGCTGCGCGATTTCCCTTCCAAAAACAAGAATCGTATCACCGACCGATACTGCTCTTTTTCCATTTTTCAAAAATCAACGGACACACTTGCTTTCACGCGCTCTCAAAAATAAACTACAACTCCGATCCGGCTGAAATCTTGACAGTAACCATCGAGAAGGTTGTACTACGCGATAGAATATTTCTTTTGCGAGAGTGGCGCCATCGGGCGGTGAGGCTAAGTACTTATTGGACCACCCTCCTATAATTTCCGTGAAAAGGGGCTGAAAAGCGTTTTATGAATAAAAATTCAAAATCTAACTTGTGATATGCTTAATTTTTTATTAATTTATATTTTTTATAGAATTGTATTTATATTTTCGCTTTTACATATTTCAATTCGATGGCTAGAGGAAAAGATAGCAGATTAAAACTTGATGTAGATGTATAAATCCTAAGAATGTGCTGCTATTCTCAAAAAAGTTATAAAATCGAATTATAGCGTGACAAATTTCAAAAATTTTATTATTTCATCATATTTAGCTCTGGAAAATGTACGCCCTCAAATATTTTTCAATTTCATTGCATTAATAAATTTGTCTTTAAAATAAAAATTAATTTACGTGGTTCCGATGTACGAGGTGTGTTCAAAAAGTATGGTGACTTTGTATTTTTAAGAAAAAATATTTATTTATTTATCAATATTTATGTTGTCCCCTTCAAAGTAATCCCCCTCAGATACAATACACTTATGCCAACGGTTTTTCCAATCCTCAAAGCACTTCTCATAGGCACTTTTCGGTATAGCCTTGAGCTCTTCCAGTGATGCAGTCTTTATCTCTTCAATCGTTGCAAATCTCCGTCCTTTCATAGGTCTCTTTAGTTTTGGGAACAAGAAAAAGTTACATGGGGCGAAATCCGGTGAATATGGTGGCTGAGGCATGATTGTGGTGTTGTTTTTGGCCAAAAAATCTCTCACAAGCAAAGATGAGTGAGCAGGGGCATTATCGTGATACAAAAGCCATGAATTGTTTTTCCAGAATTCTGGGCGTTTTCTTCGTATTGCTTCTCGCAAACGGCGCATAAATTCAAGATAATACTGTTTATTGACCGTACGTCCATATGGTAAGAACTCCTGATGCACAATGCCATGGTAATCGAAGAAAACAGTGAGCAAAACTTTGACATTTGATCGAAATGGCGTGCTTTTTTCGGTCTTGGCTCATTTGGGCTCTTCCATTGGGACGATTGGACTTTGGTTTCGATATCATAACCATATACCCATGATTCGTCACCAGTTATGACCCTTTTGAGTAAATCTGGGTCGTCGTTGACGTCATTCAACAGTTCTTGAGCGATGCTCATGCGACGGTTCTTTTGGTCAAAATTTAGCAATTTCGGAACAAACTTCGCTGACACACGTCTCATGCCCAAACGTTAGAAAAAATTTCATGGCACGAGCCAAGCGATATATCAACATCCTCAGCAACTTCTCTGATAGTGATTCGACGATTTTCCAGAACAATTTTCTTCACTGCTTGAACGTTTTCATCAGTTGTTGACGTGCTTGGGCGTCCAGAGCGAGGCTCGTCATTGGCATCTTCCCGGCTATCTTGAAAGAGTTTGTACCACTTGTAAACATTTTTTTTACACAGAACAGTTTCACCGTATGCCACCGTCAACATTTCAAGTGTTTCGGAGCACTTTATTTTATTCTTTTCACAAAATTTGATGCAAATCCTTTGATCCATATTTTCCGATAGCAAGAAATCGCCGAGCACGCAAAACACTTATAATCTTTATGCCTCTCACAACCAAACAAAAAATGCTATACACTTGAAACTTGGTACAGATGTTTGGGAAGAGTGTACCAACATCGAAAGTACGTTGCCCGTGAAATTTGAAAAGTCACCTTACTTTTTGAACACACCTCGTATGTACACTTTTTTTCATCGAGTTACAACCAATAGAAAATTCATTCTAGAAACGTAAACGATGTAAAAATTACGGTCTGACGCCAAGCACTTCAGTATATTCTCTTTAAAGCCAACGACATAGCTGTGAATGAAATTTGGTAAATATTTGCAGTAAAAAAAATGAAGCATTCTTGTTATATCGTCAAATTTTATTCTAGTGAAAAAATATTCAAATCACTTTAAATACATAATATAAGACCAATTAAAGATATTTTAACTATTTGTTCAGACATATAAGTCTTTGGAAAAGTGAATTTGTTTTATTTCATACTTTATCCAGGCGCAAAATGGTGTAGGCCTCAGTTCGACGAGCTTCATTTCTTTAAGACACAGTAGGTAAACAATCCTCTTACATTCTTCAGAGCTAATCTAGATTGTATTTTTTATTCCTATTTGTATCGCCGCAGTTCTATTCTGCCCAGTCGAATGTTTACTTTGGCAAGGAATGGGTGGAAAATATGTTCGCTAAGGTAAATTAATTTAAGCACGTTTCAAATATTTATGATGTAGAGCGTTCTTCATTAATAAAAACATTACAGTTACCTTCATGTAATGACAATGAAGGTGTTAAGTGAAGAAGAAAAATGAAAAAAGCAAGAAGCGGTTCGGTTACGTCAAGAAATGACTAAAGAGCTCCGTCAACGTAATATATTACGAAGACGTGAATACGTTCTGCACGGATACTAACCCAAACAGATTCGCATTCCGAAGAAGTAGAAATTCAAGAAAAAGAGTTGACATCTACAAAAATTACAAGAGAATTGAGACTTGTTAATAGAATATCATATTCAGCAAACAAAAAATGAGAAAATGAAGATGAAAGTCGTGAAAAAGCAAATATCCAATAATCATGTGTCACAATCTCTTGAAACACAACTATTGATAAGTCCAACACTATTCATAAATGACTATCCTTCTCGATGTAGTTCAAAAAAATTCAAATCTTCTCAACTTTCTATACACATTCATAATCAATAAGATAACTTAGATACCAATGATATGGTATTCATAAATAGCTCTTACATTCAGGGCTCGGTTCATAATTGCGAATCAGAAACCCCTCAAATTGAAAAACCAAAAATAAGTATAATCAGTGTTAAAACGAAATCGAGATAGCAATTGCTGTTCGCGAAACGGAGAGAAAGAAAAGTAACTTAAAAAAATGTTAAAAGATTACTGTGAAATGCAAAAGAAAAATACAAAACACGCAGGTTCAGAAAAGTTAACTAATAAAAAAATTTATTTAATAAAGGAAAATAGAAAGTAATGTGGATACAATAATAAGCCAAGAAAAAATGAAAACAAGACAGAAATTGTTATTGTCTGAAGTGATTCAAGGATAATTAGGAGAAATACAACTCAACTAAGAACAAAAATCATGAAATAATAATTTTTGGATCAATCAATTAAGTTCAAATTCAAATTGAAAAAGATAAAACGATGTATTCAAAAATTGTCTCAGGCAAAATTGGAAAACAATACAAGTTTGTATCCCAGTTGTCACATTTAGCGAGGCTTTATTTACAAAAGAAAATGAGATATGTGAATGGCCTGAAAGTCACAAAATTAAACAAGAAGATTAAAAATTATCATATGGCAGTAAAAGAAAATATTCTGATTTTTCTTAAAAAAGATGAAAATTCTGTAGCTGCACCAGGAAAAAGAGATGTGATCAGTAAAAAAATCACTAAAAAACCACTAAAAACATTTTAAACAGCCGTAATTGATATAAATATCTATATTTGAACAATTTTTATTTGTTATGTTTTAAATGAAATTTAAAAGGTCAAAAATTATTGACGAAATGCTATCAGTGTAATATGTTTGAATTGAATTTTTAAATTGATGTATATTCGACGCCCTTTATCTTAACATCTTATGCGCAGGCGTTCTCCTTTTTTTCTCTTTTACCTCTCTCTCTACCTCTTCACTCTCTTTTGTGTTATAACGGGGTTGTTACTTGCCTGCGTTATTTCGCGAGAGAACGAAGAATATTATGTACAGCTCGTTGCGGGCATACAATAACCGCACGAGGCTATGCTCGGATGTCTAGTTATGCCGTAAGGCTTAACTCTTATTCAACTCTATTCAACTGTTTTAACTTTTGGAATTTCATAAGATAAGTTGGCGTGCAAATGTACGGGATTTCCATTCTCCATGAGGTTGGAGGAAAAAATCGTATGTCTAGTTATGCCCGCGGGAGCGTCGTGGATCAAGCAGCTAATCTTCGTATTAATTTATCAACGGGGGAACGTAGAAGGCAGTAGAGTTAGGTGTAAATAAGAGGAAGGTACATATAAGATAAAACGACGTTTATATAATATAAGGGTTTATAAGAAGTGCAGTGCAGCGATAAAGAGAGAGAGAATAACAAGCCAGCGAGAGAGAGACAGAGGATACGAGAAGGTACTTACATAGGACGACTGGACCACGGATGAGCCCTACTTGACGCTCAAATACAGTGAACCTGGCGACAACCTAGCACTCGCTTAATCCCACGCACTCTCTCACACAGCACTCTCGATGCACAAATTACAATCGGTTGTTTCTCCTTTGAGCTGCCACGAGGCCAAGTTGAGAGTCGAAAAGAGGTTGTCAATTTACAATGCGAAAGCCGGCCGGCGAGAACACGTGCGCTTTCGGACACGATCATAAGCTAGTGCCGCGGAAGAGCTCCCCACTCTCTCTCCTTCTCTGCCGAACATACAGTGCCCGTCAATCACTTTTGCCATGCTTACCTCAAAATTAGGCAAACTTGAAAGTTTTGTATCTCGGTCGGAAATCATCGTATCGCAATAAACCACAGGGCATTTTAAAGGTAATTGCAAAAGCTTCCATTTAAGACGTGCAGAGACTTAAAAATGAAAATATGTGTTTTTTACAGTAATAAAACTGATTAGAAAAATTTCAATTTTTTTAACTTCGACTTAAATCAATGCCAATTTAGAACCAGGCGGTGGAGGGCAAATTGACCTGAGGGGTTCGGAGGGTAATGTCTTTCCCTTTAAAATGAGCTCCCGCGGGGTTCTATCCGATGTTTTTTAACCGAGTTACGGCGTTTTTTGTAAAAAGCAACCTTCTTTTTCGAATCCTCAATTACTTCGACTTGCGTACGTTTTGGAAAAAAATGCCAAAGAGAAAAAAGTTTCATTTTGTGCCCAAGAATACGAAAATAAAGTCAAAATAAAGAAATAGAGAAAAAAATTTTTTTCGGTTTTTTAGCGCATTAAAAAAATAAAGGAATTTAACTTTTTTTTTACGCTTAGTTTTTAAATGTCTAGAGACGTAGTAAATCACAAAAAAACTAAAACTAAGCGTAAAAAAAAAGTTAAATGTAAGGAAAATCATTTTGACTTATCATTAGTCGATCTAAATACATTCATTGGAATCATTATAACAAGTTCATTCAATAAACGAAAATCTCAAAGAGATTATTGGTCAACTGACCCTTTTTTATCTTGTGAAAAAATTTCTTCAGCAATGTCACGATCTCATTTTGAAATGATAAAGTCTAAATTGAAATACTCAAAGGCCAAAGATAAAGATCCACAAGATAAGGCTTGGCGAGTTCGTGCTTTGTTGAAACTGTTTCAAAAGAATATTCTGAAGTTTGGCTTTTGGAATTCAGCTTTATCAGTGGATGAAATGATGGCTAAATCGTATGCTAGAACGTGTTTGAAACAGTTTATACGAGGAAAACCTACACCATTCGGTCTTAAATTTTGGGGTTTGTGCGCTACTAATGGATACTTATTCAATATAGATTTATACTGTGGAAAGAACTCTGTAATAGGAGATAAGTTATCTAAATGCGCTTTAGGATCTCGCGTGGTTTTACATTTATTGAAGCCTTTTTTTTAATTGACTTCTGATGCAACAATTCCTCTTTATCATCTTTATTTTGACAATTACTTTACAAATTTAGATCTTGTTGTGCATTTAAACCGATTAAAATTGAAATGTACTGGAACTGTTAGAGACAATCGTGTCCCAGTAAAAAATGTCATTCATAAAAAGGCTCCACGTGGAACATATGTAGTAAAGCATGAAAAAAACTCTGGAATAAATTACATCACGGTTATGGATTCAAAGCCAGTATTAATACTATCTACAGCTGCAGGAGTCACTCCATTATCATCAGCAAAGAGATACAGTTCGATCGAAAAAGAAAAAGTCGATATACCAGTTCTGCAAGCTTTTCACCTTTATAATCAGTCCATGGGTGGAGTTGATGTACACGACGGTCACTGTAACAATTTGTTGCCAAGTATTCGTTTAAAGAAGTGGACGTGGATGGTTTTCGTTAGACTTATCCAAGCAGCAATTACAAATGCAGTTGTAATATTCAATGCTGTTGATGATAGTAAAATAAAAGTTGGAACTAAAGAATTTGCAATGTCAATAGCGAAAAGTTACATTCATGATGCTTAAATAAAATAAGGAAAAGCATACAACAATTCGAAAAAAGAAATAGAACAAGTGTTCCATTTGTCCAATAAGAACATATGTGTACTGTGAGAAGTGCAGTTTGTTTTTTTGCAGTGCATGCATGAAAGCAAAGCATGTCTGATTACAGTGAGAGGCCAGGGAACTTACGATAAAAAAGCACCTCGTAGAGTGAGAGGAGAGGGGATTCACTATAAAAAAGCACCCCGAGGAGTGAGAGGCAAGGGGACTCACTATAAACAAGCACCTCGATGGAGACCTGATTTTACTACGTCCACGCTGTTATCTCTGGGTTACGCCAAGAGTAAAATATAAATATAAACTGAAAGTAGTCACACTTTAGAGGTACTTACGCAATACTTTATTTAGAACCTCTTGATAAATTAAACTTCGGTACGTTTATACCCCAACTTATCTTATGAAATTCCAAAAGTTAAAACGGTTGAATAGAATTTCCACAATTGGTCGAGAATTTTTTTCTCGAAAACTATAGGCTTTCGGGAAAAATTTATAAGATCAAAAATGTCTAAGAATTAGTCAAAGAATACTCTCTAATTTTTCCAGAATTTTTCGAAATTTTTTTGAAATTTTCAATTATAAGACATTTTTGTCACATAAAACTTTTTCCTTAACCTCATAGTTTTTGAGAAAAAAATAGTAAACTAAAACGCATTTTTTTCCAGATTTTGGCATTTTTTCCGCCATTTTGGAAAAAAAACTTTGAATATAAAAATTTTCTGTTAAAGTTCAACAATTTTGTGCACTCATGGTTGAAGAAAGATTTCGATAATGACATGTGTTATAGTAGAAAAAAAATTCCAAAAAATTTTTTTTTTTCAAAATTTCCCTATTTTTTTATAAAAAATCGGCCATATTTAATTCTGTAAGCAAAATTTTTGAATTTTGAGCCCGGATTTAAATTCAGCACACCCAAAAACATAAGGTTTGGTACCCTGGATCGATTTATTGTTTCGTTTTACAAATGAATTTTTCGATCAAAAATATGTACAAAAACTGACTTCTTTGGTCGTTAATGGGTTAAGTCGGGGTTAAAAAAATTGAAATTTTTCTAATCAGTTTTTTTACTGTAAAAAACACATTTTCATTTTTAAGTCTCTGCACGTCTTAAATGGAAGCTTTTGCAATTACCTTTAAAATGCCCTGCGGTTTTTTGTTATACGATGATTTCCAACCGAGATACAAAACTTTCAAGTTTGCCTAATTTTGAGGTAAGCATGGCAAAAGTGATTGACGGACAGTGTATATCGGTTCTTATCGCGCGACAGTCTCTACTCTCGCACATGAGCATACCTTCAGTTTAAGCCTACGCGAGTCTATCCTCCCTCTCGCTAGTTCGTGTTGCATTGTATGTATTCTCTCTCTCTCTCTCTCTTACCGTGTACTCTATTGCCCGCTGCTGCTGCTACTTCTAGACATTGTACAAAAATTAATATTATACCAAATAAAGAATATAGATATATATAAGTATAAAGGTACATAAATAAATATGGTCGTCTGAGAAAGAGAGACATAACGAATGATTTATCACACGTTATAGTGTGTTCTATGCTCTTATTTTCTCTTTCTTCCGTGCTTTTGCATTGTAGACTTATGCGGTCTAAATTTTTGGTTGAAATTATTTCAAGGTCACTGTAATTGGTATTGGAGTTAGAACATTAGAACAGACTGCAATAGATTAATAAATATTGAACAAATATGTGCTTGAGTCAATTAAAGACGAGTTTGAAGTTAAATTTGAAGTACATCAAGGACGCCAACGTACTTTGGATCAACGTCACTTTGACATTAATTAGTCACCTGTTGTAGAGGTAATTGTTAGTTTATGAATTTTGACATTAAAGCCGGTTATGTGAGTATCAGAATTAAAATAGATTAGGATGCATTAGTCCATTATATATATATATATATATATATATATATACTGTTGACATGGACCAAACTGTAGTCTTTCAGCCTGGAAATGTCTTGTGAAGAGAATCCTGTCGTTTCTGTCTACTAGCGAAATCTTCAAAATATAAAACTTTAAGCATCAATATCTCAACGAAAAAAAAAAAAAGATTTTTCAAATTTGAAAGAAGGGTTTTGAAGGGTTCGAATTCTTCTTTGAGATGCCGTGAGCCGTTTAAAAAATAATTTTCAGTAGAGATTTTACATAACCTCAAAGTTAACCAAAAACAGTGTTTTTTGCACTTTTAGGTTAAGGTATCTCGGGAACCTAACGTGATGGACAAAATCTGCCGCCGGATTTGAATTCAGCGACTCAAAAACCTTCGAGAGTATCTAGTCACGGTTCTAGGTCAGTTCACTTTTCAAATTTTGTTGCCCTGTGTTATCGATGAAACACTTGAATGTGAATGAAGACTGTATCTGGTATTAAATGAAACATAATTTAAAAAGTCAGCTGAGAATACCATTTCTTTTGTTTATAGGAAGGTAATCGTTGCTACTACACCCGACAGTTAATTCTTCTATATTTAGTTATTACTTTGATCATTATTATTTGATCATTATTTCAACAAAAAATATTTTTCATTTCTAAATGTATTAATGCTATCATTTCAAACCCTTAAATATACTCAGGAACTTGCTCTTGCACCTCGAGTCGCAATCTGTCGACGGGGCTTAAGCTGCATGAGAAGCACAGTGGCAAGCAAATACTGTATGCACTCTTGTACTCATATTGATGTACTAGGTTAAAATGTATCTATTCAAATGTTTCTAAGCGTTGATTCTATTCTTTTTTGTTATAAATCACAAATGTTTGAGTTCTAATAGTTATATTTTTTCAATACGAATTGTAATGTTAATCATTTTTTTATTATTTTTCAGTTTCGAGAATTTCTCACCTCATATAATAAACTCTCAGAAGTATGTTTTGTAGATTGCATCAAAGACTTTACAAATCGAGATGTGCAAAAAACAGAAGAAAAATGTGCTCTCAATTGTATGGAAAAATATTTGAAAATGAATCAACGAATATCAGAAAGATTTCAAGAATTTCAATTGATAGCAAATGAAAATATTTTAGCGACTACGCAAAAATTAAATTAGATTGATTAATACATCAATACTGATTTTTATATTGTTACAAATAACAAATAAATACTGATATCCATAAGTACTATAATTTATAATTTTCGAAATTCTCATACTAAATATTAAACGTAATAAATGAAGTTTAACAACTTCATTTATTACATTAATTACGTATATTTAAACTATGTAAGTTGAAAAAATTATTTTAAATTGAAGCATAAAAATACTTTTAATAAATTATTAGATTGGACTATAATTCTATTTTAGCCAAAAATCGGCCATTATGTTTTATAACGAGTGCCGTCGCTACTCATTATATCTCTCTCCCGTCTCGATCTAATATTAAATGAATTGTATTGTTATTTCTTTATGTATTGTTTCCGATAGCTGGCGTGCAAGGTGGGTGCAGGAGCCGACAGGAGAAAAAGATACGCGATCCTGATCATGTGATCACGTACGGACACGTGATGAGTGATAATTCCCTTCTTGGCGAGCCTAGGAAAGGGATGTGCAACTTTTGTTCATTTGACATAAGTTCCTTTTTCAACAACGCGACTCTTCCGATTACGAATCCCGGAAGTTGTTACGCATCGTTCAACGACATATTTAGAGCATATCGTGGTTGTGTGGTATATCATGCGTTCTGGCATTGTTCCGCCTGTCCGCCACCGCTTTAAGAGAGCCCAACTGCACCAGTATTGAGTACTTACAATGGCTAGAGCTGTGCAAATGAAAGTATCGGCCGTAAACTCTTTTTCTCGCTCTTCAACCTATGCGATATCTGTTAACTAACTCTCTCTCTTTACTTCGCTGCCACTTGTACTGCTCTCACTTATTTTCTCATAAAGACCGCATTTGCTTTAACTGCGCATTATTTATTCGCTTCACCTGCACCTATTTTCTTACTTCCACGGTGAAGCGACCTAATCTTTACACGTTACGACCTCGGATTGAGCTCCGTAACTCTCCAGCTGTCTACGAGGACAGAAATCCCTTAGAAGAGTTAAGCTAATGAGACGCATCTGTCTTACCGACTTGCCCGTCGGTCGAAACCGTTTCTCATTCAATCCTCGAATTTTATGCTGCTAACGGACTACGACGTTGAATCAAAACCCCGTTACATAATTTTATCAATATAAAATTGATAGCTAGTCATAAATTTACTATTATTTTTCTTCTTTTTACCTTTATTATTTTTTACAGTATTTTAAATATTTTATGAAAATTCCTTTTTTTTTTTTTTTTTTTTTTACCGTAATCAATAAACAGATGAAATATTGAAAAGGCAAATAGCGTCGATAATTCGTTTTAACAAGATATTTACTCATATTTTCAAAGAGGACGTAGAAAGGCGAATTGCGGATTGGATAAAAGACCTGCCAAGCGACGAATTAGACACGGTTTCATATCACTTAGAATTAAACACCGAAGAATCGATGTATAAACGGGCCAATAGATTATACAAATACCTTCAAGGGAATTACACCGCGGTAGATTTTGTAGCGACTATTACCTTGAAAAGCGATGAAACAGTAAATAGACGCAATGACTTCACCGAAACACTTCTTTGTTTCAATGCGTTACCCGCAGAATTGCGCGAGAATTGTATATTCGCGCTGATAGTTGATGTCAAAAACGATATAAGAAGCACCACAGAAAGTAATGCTATTAAATTTTCGGTTAGTTTATGAAGTTGAGGATATGTTTCTCACAATGCTCGTGGATACAGTGCTCATTATGACAGGAATCACAGTGGTATCAGCATATTTGGTGTATCAAAGCGACCTTACGCCTGCAGTAACTGCTGCAATACAAGCATTTAACCGTTGTTTCTTAAGGCAGAATTTTACTAAAACAATCGGGAAGCATCACAAACAGACCTTATGCACACGAGCGCAACATTTATCATGACATCTATCCCAACCTAC